ATGATTAGTAATGTTGAGCATCTTGTCATGTGCTTATTGGCCATTTGTTTATCTTATTTGGAGAAATGTTTAAGTCCTTTGCTTATTTTTAACTTGGTTTGTTTGTGGTTGAGTTTCAGGAGTTCTTTATATTTTCTGGATATCAACCCCTTTATCAGATATGTGATTTACAATTATTTTCTTCCGTTCTATAGGTTGCCTTTTTATTCTGTCAGTAGTATCCTTTGATGCACAAGTTTCTAATTCTGATGAAGTTCAATTTGTTTTTCTTTTGTTGCCTGTGCCTTTGGTGTCATATCCACATATCCAAGAACTCACTGCCAAGTCCAATGTCATGAAGCTATAAAGTTTTAACTCTTACATTTACGTCTTTGATCCATTTTGAGTTAATTTCTGTATATGGTGTTTGCTAAAGGGTTAAACTTCCTTCTTTTGTATGTGACTACCCAGTTTTCCCAACTCCATTTGTTGAAAACACTGTCTTTTCCTGAAGGGAGAATTGGAACCTTATTGAAAATCACTTGACCATGTATGTGAGATCTCATGTCTGGGCTCTCTATTCTGTTCTTTTGGTCGGTATGTCTATCTTTTCCCCAGTACCACAGTTTTGATCACTGTAGCTTTGAGTAAATTTTGAAACCAGGATGTGTAAGTCCACCAACTTTCTTTTTCAAGGGAGTTTTGCCTATTCAGGGTCCCTTGAGATTCCAAATTTTAGAATGGATTTTTCTTTTAAAAAGAGTCATTTTGATTATGATAAGAGTTGCACTGAATCTGTAGATTGCTTTGGGTAGTACTGACATTTTAACTCTATTAAATCTTCCAAAAGGATATTTCCCCATTTATTTATGTCTTCTTTAATTTCTTTCAGCAATGATTTATAGTTTTCAGTATATAAGTCTTCCATATTCTTGGTTAATACGATTTCTATATATTTTATTCTTTTGATTTATTGTAAATGAAATTGTTCTCTTAATTTATTTTTTGAATCGTTCATTATTAGTGTATAGAAAAGTACCATTTGATTTTTATTTTTTTAAAAATATATTTTATTGATTTTTAGAGAGGAAGGGAGAGGGAGAGAGAGATAGAAACATCAATGATGAGAAATCATTGATTGGCTGCCTCCAGCACGCCCCCTACTGGGGATCGAGCCCGCAACCCCGGCATGTGCCCTTGGCCGGAATCGAACCTGGGACCCTTCAGTCCACAGACCGACGCTCTATCCATTGAGCCAAACCAGCTAGGGCACCATTTGATTTTTAAATAAGACCCCTGTATTACACTGATACAAAATAAATGCATCAAAAGGAAAAGAAATACATTGCAATTCTCCAGTGCTCATGCTTAATCAGAATGGAGATAAACTGCATTTAAACATCTTAAACTATTCAATCATTTTGAATTTCAAATTTTAAAAATACTGACATTTCATGTTGTTCAGTATGATGTACTGTAAGAATAAAGGTAAATATCCATGTATCTTCCTTTTGTGCTGCAGGGTTTTTTTTGTTGTTTTTTTTTACTGCAAATAGAATTTGCTTTAGTCTAAGAAAAAAACAAACCACAACCAGTAACTTATTTCACCAGAGACGAGAAGTATCATCAGAGAACTATCTTGTGCAGCTATCTGATTTCCTACACTCTCTTCCCCACATATATATGTTTTGCCAGATTCTCTTTCAGTATTTTAACTCAAGCAAAACTCCCCATTAGTATAGATGTTCTATGTGGGGATTCCAACCTGGACTGGGAAGGTAAATGGAAAGAATTTAGTGGATTGTGTTAATTCTTTTGCTTCTGCCATATTAAGATAATAGAAACTGAAGATGCCAGAAGACATTTGGGAGGTTCAGAGTTAAATAAAATAACAAAATCAACAACAGCATAAAAACAGTAAAATGAAAACTTTTGGCCCAATAATTATATTCAAGCCAGCCAAAGTGTCTTTGCTGTAAGCTTAAGAGTGGGTAATGTGGCCCAGCTGGTATCGCTCAGTGGCATCCATGCACCAAGTCACTGGTTCAACTCCTGGTAAGGGCACATGCCTGGGTTTTGGGCTTGATCCGCAGTTAGGGGGGGCATGCAGGAGCGGATCAATGTTTCTCTCTCATTGATGTTTCTATCTCTCTCTCGTTCTCTCTAAAAGTTAATAAGAACACATTAAAAACAAAAAGAATCTGAGGAAAGTCTGCATTCCCACCAGCCGTGTATTAGGGTTCCCTTTTCTCCACATCCTCGCCAACACTTGTTGATTTGTTGATGATAGCCATTCTGACAGGTGTGAGGTGATATCTCATTGTTGTTTTGATTTGCATCTCTTATGATTAGTGACTTTAAGCATTTTTTCATATGTCTCTTGGCTTTCTGTATGTCCACTTTGGAGAAGTGTCTATTTAGGTCCCTTGCCCATTTTTTAATTGGATTGCTTGCCTTCATTTTGTTAAGTTGTATGAGTTACCTATATATTTTGGAAATTAACCCCTTATCAGATGAATCATTGGCAAAGTACACTGCTGGTGATAATGCAAACTGGTGCAGCCACTGTGGAAAACAGTATTATGGAGTTTCCTCAAAAAATTAAATATGGAACTCCCATTTGACCCAGTGATCCCACTCCTAGGAATTTATTCTAAGAATCCTGAAACACCAATTAAAAAGAATATATGCACCCCTATGTTCATAGCAGCACAATTTACAATAGCTAAGATTTGGAAACAGCCCAAGTGCCCATCAGCAGATGAGTGAATTAAAAACCTGTGGTACATCTACACAATGTAATACTACCCAGCTATAAAAAAGAAAGACCTCTTACCATTTGCAACAGCTTGGATGGACCTGGAGAGCATTATGCTAAGCGAAATAAGCCAGTCAGAAAGATAAGTGTATCACATGATCTCACTCATATGTGGAATCTAATGAACAAAATAGATCCAGAGACACAGAAGCATGGGACAGACTGTCGAATTGCAGAGGGAAGACAGGGAGGGTGGGTAAAAGAGATCAACCAAAGAACTTGTATGCATGTATGCGTAACTCATGGACAAAGACAGTAAGGTGATGAAGGCCTGGGGTTGGGGGAAAGGACGGGCTAGAAGTTAATGGGGGAAAACAGGGGACATATGTAATACTTTCAAACAAATAAAGATTAAAAAAAAAAAGAATGTGAGGAAAAAGCCCTAAGAAAAAGTTTAAAATTACTTTTGTAATTCCAATTGCCTACACAAATTTCAGACAGATTCTACGAAAAAGTTAATTTGTGAGACTTCTTTCCTTCCATCTGTCTATCAATCAAATACTTATTGAATCACTATTACATTCCCAACAGTATGCTAGGCACTAAGGACACACACACAAAATAAATGTTCAATCCCTGCTTTCAAAGAACTCAGGTGGTAACAAGCAACGTGTGCAGTGGTAGAGAGTACCTACTGCACCCTAGGTCAGGAGTAGGTTTGTAAGAAAGATGTCAGGAAAGGAAGAGGTCACCTTGAGTTGAATCCTAAATATGAACAGGAAGTAGAGATTACCTATAATGTATTGGGCATTGTGCTAGGTGTTCAGGCTACAAATATTAATCAGAGAAAGTCAGAACATAGGTCAGTAAGGGAAAAAGGTAATATCAAAATGATTTACAAAGTAATATTAAATGTTGTGAGACAGAATGTTATAAAAATAGAGAACAACAAACTCGGTGGGGAAGGGGAACACAGCATAAGAAAGGTGGCAGACAGAAGCTAATGTCTGAGTTGAATTATGAAGAGTCTGCAGATATTTAATAGGCAGGTATCACAGGGAGAAGGGTATTCCAGGCAAGGGGTAATAAACAATGAGCACTGGAACAAATGTACAAAAGTATAACATGAAAGTCTAGCATGATTAGGAATTTGCACGTGATTTAGTGTGGCTGAAACTTAAACATAGGCTATGCAGCAAAAAGAAGAGTGGGAGGGCAAAACAGTGAGAAAGGTAGGAAGAAATCATGTTATAAATTAAACAGGAAGACACCAGTGCTCTCATGTGGTTACTAAACCTTCATATTTCTTTTGAAAAGCTTTATTTTTTAAAAATCTGAATATTAAGAATTTTTCTTACTCATCTGTGAGAATATTTGATACACTAAATACAGTAACTTTTGTCATTGCAAAAGTTCTTTAGCTCTAAGAGTTTTAGTCATCTTTAATTTATAAAAGTTTTAAAATTTGATATAGTCAAATTCATTGCTTTTTTTTGTAATTGATACCACTGTTTTTATGTTTGGAAAATCCAGTTGTAAGGTTATTGCAAGAAATATCACAAAAGGCAAAATGAGGAGAAGGAAGGAGAACTAAGGTAGATTCAAGATATATTTAGGGAATAGGAATGTGAGAGAAGAGAGACTCAGTGAGAAAGTCACTATCTTCACTATCTGGAAGACAAGACGCCTTAGAGGACAACTTTTCAACAAAGGAGCTTGAGATATGGGAGGAATACTAGAGAAGCCAGTTAAGTTTCAAGGGAGACAAGGTCCAAAAGGCATCAAGAGAACATTTCATCTTTCAAGGACCTACAAAATCCCGAGTTTTCTCTTGGTTAAGTCCATTAGAAAGTAACTTTTTTAACACTTTAGCATATCATAGTAAATGTTAACTTTGATAGCTTCATTAAAATGCCAATTAACAAACTGAATTTTATTCTAATTCCACATAATTCAAATGATTAATTCATTCCTCCCTCCCTAAGTTTTCCCTTTAGCAGATATACTTTTTACTCTAAAGTCTATGGCTACCAAGAAAATTAACATAATAAAACAAGTTAAAGGAACACCTTTTGGTAGTTTCAACTTCTCTCTATTTTTTGGCTTTTAAGAGATCACGATGGCCTGACCTTGGCATAAGCTTTTTGACATACTAAGTTCCTGAGAAAAACAGTGAATAAAATATAGATATCTAATTTCATTACCTTATAAGAAAAGTAAAATCATCTAAATTCATTTCGGCTATGGAAAACAGATTACTCACCTGCGACCACATTCTGAATATTTACCAATGTTTTTTAATATTAAGGCAGCTGTTAGTCGGATGTGTTTAGTTATTGGTCCCTCTTTTTCATCCTTAAAAAGAAAAGAAAAGAAAAGAATAAAGATCTAAATCACACAGTGCTCACACCTTTACAGGAAAGGCTTTCAAGGCTTGCTTACTGTAAAATCTCGAAAGACGAGGTTTCTTGATCCTCTCCTTAGAGCCATAAGGGCAGCACTGGGATGATTCACAATGGCCTTTTGTGCTCTAGGAGTTGAGCTTGTGCCCCCCACAACTGGCTGCCTAAATTGTCAGACAGAAAAAGAGACTGTTAACATGATGCTGCAGACTGACCATAACCAAGCTGCCAACTCCAGGTGGATACAGGATGAATAAAATCTCTCATGGCCCAGCATTAATATTTATTCTTTGTGTCAGCCTATACAAAAGGGGCTCTTAGTATTAGGTGAAATTTCAAGTGTTTTATTTTCCAATTTACCAATTTTAAAGCAAACAATAGATGTTCCAGCATAATCCATTTTTAAAGTTACTGTGCTAGTAAACATGCAATAAAAATAAATACAACATAAGTCAGATGGAAAAGGACAAAAACCATGATTGTATTCATATGTGGGATATGAAACAGAAAGCAACAAATGAAAAAAAACAATAAAAAACAAACTTATAGACACAGACAACAGTATGTTTGTTGTCAGAGGGGGAGGATGAAGAGGGTGAGGGGGCTTAAATATATGGTGATAGAAGGAGAGTGGTTTTTGGGCAGTGAGCACACAATGCAATATACAGATGATGTGTTATAACGTTGTACACCTGAAACTTATATAGTGTTATTAACCAAGGTTACCCCAATAAATTTAATTTAAAATTACAGCATGTTACCAAAGTTTGTGGAGTTTACATCATTGAATGTAATGTGAAGATGTTAACAAATAAAAACATTGTCTGCAATTTGAGCTGCAAATTATTTTGGCTAAACAATACCAAGACTAAAATAATATTACCTAAGAATGTATTGACATAGGTATAGGTGATCCAGAAAAAGATAACCTAATATAATAATACTAAAGGCCCGGTGCACAAAACTTTGTGCACTCGGGGGGCGGGGGGGGGGGGGGGGTCCCCTCAGCCCGGCATGTGCCCTCTCGCAGTCTGGGACCCCTCGAGGGATGTCCACCTACCGGCTTAGGCCCGCTCCCCAGGGGGAACGGGCCTAAGCTGGCAGTCAGACATCCCTCTGGCAGCCCGGGAGCCCTCGGGGGATGTCCACTTGCCAGCAGAAAGCAGGCCTAAGCTGCAGTAAGACATCCTTAGCGCTGCTGAGGAGGTGGGAGAGGTTCCCGCCACCACCGCTGTGCTGGCAGCCGTCAGCCTGGCTTGTGGCTGAGCAGAGCTTCCCCTGTGGGAGCGCACTGACCACCAGGGGGCAGCTCCTGCATTGAGCGTCTGCCCCCTGGTGGTCAATGTGTGTCATAGTGACCAGTCATTCCCAGTTGTTCTGCTGTTGGGGTCAATTTGCATATTACTCTTTTATTATATAGGATAGAGGACTGGTGCACAGGTGGACTACTGCTTTGCCCTGAAGGGTATCCCAGATCAGGGTGGGAGTCCCACTGAGGTGCCTGGCCAGCCTGGGTGAGGGGCTGATGGCTGTTTGTAGGCTGGCCACGCCCCCCAGCAACCCAAGCTCCCAGCCTCTCCTTTTTTTTCTTCCTGGGATTTATTTATCTTCTATAATTGGAACTTTGTAGCCTTGAGCAGAGCCCAGGACCATCCAGGGCAGGCGGGAAGCTTGACTTCCTCCATCACTGGGGCAACCCAAGCCTCCTGCTCGCTCCAGCTCTGTGGCTGCCACCATCTTAGTTGGGTTAATTTGCATACTCGCTCCTGATTGGCTTGTGGGCGTGGCTTCAGCATAGTGGAGGGGCGGTTAATTTGCATGTTTTTCTTTTATTATATAGGATGAAATTATGTTAAACACCACACTTCAAACTATTTGTTATATAATCTTATTTTCCACCATTATTTAATAACTCTAATCAACCCTTCCAGTATAATTCTAACATCCTTTTTAAAACTCAGACTGAAGGAATGAATTTTACCTAAAATTAGATTCAAGCTATTCTAGATTTCCTTGGCCAAGCAGAAAATTGCCTTAATAGCTTTTGTATTCTGCCAAGGCCATGGTGTAAAGAGCACTGACTTGCATGTGGGGAAATCTGTCTATTTCTGGCACAATAACTAGTTGTATGACTTTGAATATTTCAGTTTGCCCCTCTATGCTTCAGGTTTCACATATGTAAAATGGGGATATTTCTGGCACTTTTTTACATATGTAAACTAATTCTGAATATTAAATAAGTTAATGTAAAAGCAATCTTTGAATTGTAAACCAGTTTATAACTATATATAGTTATCAAAAGAAAAGAATATCTACATATATACTGTTATTAGATTTTATGTGTAAAACTAGAGGCCCGGTGCATGAAATTCATGCACTTGGGTGTGGGGGGGCCCTTCAGCCCGACCTGCACCCTCTCGCAGTCCAGGAGCCCTTGGGGGATGTCCAATTGCCACAGAGGCAAGAGAGGCTCCCACCACCACCACTGCGCTCGCCAGCCATGAGCCCAGCTTCTGGCTGAGCGGCGCTCCCCATGTGGGAGCACACTGACACCAGGGGGCAGCTCCTGTGTTGAGTGCCACGCCCCCTGGTGGTCAGTGCGCATCATAGTGACCGGTTGTTCGCCCGGGCCGAAACCAGCTTTCCGACATCCCCTGAGGGGTCCCAGATTGTGAGAGGATGCAGGCCAGGTCAAGGGACTCCATTGGTGCATGACTGGGGCCGGGGAGGGACGTGGGAGGTTGGCCAGCTGGGGAGGGATTGTGGGAGGGCTCCAGGGTGTGTCCAGCCCATCTTGCTCAATCCCAATTGGCCGGACCCCAGCAGCAAGCTAACCTACTGGTCAGAGTGTCTGCCTGCCCCCTGGTCAGTGCACGTCATAGCGAGCGGTGAGCGGCCTTAGCATTCATTAGCACATTACGCTTTGATTGGTTGAACATCTGACCGGACGACTGGACACTTAGCACATTAGGCTTTTATTATATACGATGACAAAGATTTTCGATTGATTGTAATCAACACATCAAATATCTCTTCCTCCAAACTTGAGCAAAACCAAACATATTCCAACATATTCTTATAAGCTACATAATATATACAAATTAAAGGCAGTGAAAATTATAGGAAAAGATACTTGGCAGAAAAATGACTTTCTATTGCCTGTAGGATAAAACTCAAACTCATGATTATAGCTTATGAGACCTTCTACTATTTACTCCTTATTCTTTGGGTCTCAGTTTGGAGGTACTTTCTGTCAGAAAGCCTTCCCTGGATTGGTTTAGGTGAGCTCTCATAGTATCTTGTGCACCTCTTCATTTTAGTACTTTAATACATATAGTAAGAATTACCTACACCTCTCACTGATGGATCTCCAGACACTTAAGAACAGCAAAATGTATCTTGGTCATGTATACCTCATTCTATACCTTAGTGTCTAGCACATAGTAGATGCTCATTTACAGAAACTGAATAAAGTATGTTAAGCAGATTCTGTACTCCCATATTTCTAGTTCTCTTTCTAGAATATCAGCTCTAAAGTTAGAGACTATGTCTTATTCTTAGAATTCCCTAGGTCTGGCACAATGCCTAGTACATTGCAGTATCTTAGTAAGTGGTGGCAAATTAATTTTCACATTTTCAGAGTTAAAAATATTATTCAGGTTACAGAATCTACAACTAAGGCCCTCAGAAACAGAATAGGAGATACTATATAAATCTAATAAGGAACTTACAGAAATCTGCAACTTAGAACTCCACTATATTCATTACAAGTATATGAATTGTAAGAAGAAATCTCTTTGCCATTATCAAATACATGTTCAATTACTCTCAAAGAATAAAAAAATAGGGGTGGGAAAAAGTAGGTGTACAGTTGTGAATGTGATAGTTTATTCTTGTATTATTTATTAATTATTGTATTATTTTTCATTCAAACAACTGTAAACCTACTTTTGTCCACCCCTGTATATAGTTACAGTTTACAAAGTATTTCTCATATAAATATGAAAGTGATGCTTAGAGAAAATACTCTAAGCAATTTGAATAGGGTCACATAGCTGGTGAATGGTAGAGCTGAACCAGAACTCAGGTTTCCAGTTTCCTACTATGCTAAAGTTAAATTTCATTTTTAATATGTTTTGCCTACTCTCCTGATTTTTCTTTCTGTATATACAACAGGAAGTAAACTCATGTTCCTTACTTGGTAGAAGGTTTTTGACTTCCTGCTTGTCCTGGTTCATCTTGTTTTAATCCTGCAAGCAGGGCATCCTTTGAACAGTGCTTATCCTTTTTGAGAAAGAGGAAGTAAAAGAATATGCATCAAAACCTTTATTGCAAAAGAGTTACTGACCAAACAGTATTAAGAAAGTGTACCTGTAAGTGGGTAATAAAAGAAAACCTTTGTCGCTGAAAAGGCTCACAACCTTCCCACAGACATTGCCCTGGATATACATCTTTTCCTCCATGTTCAGTCGCTGCATGGTAGAAAACCTGTGAGGGTGTCTGAAACCACCTGCAAAAAATGAAAGTAACAAATTTTCTGACACTGAATATAGTCTTTATAACGGAAAACTTGCTCTTTTAATACAAAAGCTCCAGATCAATATACAGAAATATTAAGAAAAATAGTGCAAGCAAATTTCAAGTTCATTTCATTTCAAAGAATATTTTGAAACTATTTGGAAACAAATTTCTCTGCATATATGTCCATGTTAAATCATTACCATGAACACTTTTGGTCATTTGTTTTCAGTTTAATATGTTTCATTAATTCCCTACCTTCAATGAAGGTCAGCTAAGAATCTCTTAAAAGTAAATGAAATATCATTTTAAAACACAATAGAACATGCTTTTATATACAAATACCATACTCCATTGTACTTTTAGAAGCTGCTCAAACATTTACATATAATAAACTCTAGCATATTTAACAATCTAACAATCTAAGTGCTAAACATCTTGGTAGGTCTATCTTTTAGTTGAACTCACATTTTGTATGTTTGTCCATGTCTTGAATTTCTCCAACATTATACCCTACTCACTCATATACCCTGAGGCTTAACGATACAAGTGTCTGAGTGAATAAGTGGCCAAGTATACAAACGTGAAGAATGTCAGATACTATTTCTCTCATTAATTAGAACACATAGCAATGAGAGAGAATACTGGGATGCAAACAGCAAAGAATACATTGAAAGGCTTCAATTACTAAGTAGTAACTCAAATATTTGCACAATCCCTATCTTTAAAGTTTATGGCAGAGCTCCCTTAGGATTTGAATTTTTAATGTCATATAAACACACACACACACTCACACACACACACATTATAAATAGAGAAATTTCATTGCAATGGTTCCTATTTTTTTTGTGTGTGTGTTCTTTTTAATTAATCTTCACCCAAGGATATTTTTTCCTTTCATTTTTAGAGAGAGAGGAGGGGAGGGGGCGGGCAGGGATCAAGCCTGCACTGAGGTAAGTGCCCTTGATCTGAATCAAACCCGCGACCTTTCAGTCCTCCAGCCAATGCTCTAACCACAGAGCCAAACCAGCTAGGGCTAATAAACATGTATATATTTGAACCAATTTTTGATGTACAGTATCTATACAATATTTTAAATTAGTAAATAACTTTAGGAAATAACTGACATATTAAAATAAATTTTAAACAAGAGTAAATACTGAATTATAAAAGACAATGTCAAAAATTAATATGAAGATTACATATTTCATATCATTCATATTCATTTATATAAATACCTACCAAAAGTTTATTGTGAAACTATCATGGGTTGGAAAATTACTATTATTAAAATGTCCACAGTACCCAAAGCAATCTACAAATTCAATATAATCCCTGTTAAATTCCAATGGCATTTTTCACAGAAATAGAACAAACAATACTAAAATTTCTATGGAACCACAAAAGACTCCAAAGAGTCAAAGCAATCTTGAGAAAGAAGAACAAAAGCAGAGGCATCATGCTCCCTGATTTCAAACTATAAATAAAAAAGCTATAGTAATTCAACAGTATGGTATTGGCATAAAAAGAGACATATAGATCAATGAAACAGAACAAAAGGCCCAGAAATAAACCTATGTATTATCAATTAATTACAACAAATGAGCCAAGAATATACAATAGGAAAAGGATAGTCTCTTTAATAAATGGTGAAGGAAAAACTGGATAGCCCATACAAATTAATGAAACAGGACAACAATCTTACACCATACACAAAAATTAACAAAATTAACTCAAAATTGATTAAAGACTTGAATGTAAGACCTGAAACCATAAAACTCTGAGAAGAGAACAAAGATGGAAAGCTCCTTGATACCAAATCAAAGGCAACAAGAGCAAAAATAAACAAGTGGGACTATATCACATTAAAAACTACACAGCAAAAGGAACAACAAAATGAAAAGGCAATCTACTGAATGAAAATATTTGGAAAATTATAAATCTGATAAGAGGTTAATATACAAAATATGTAGAGATCTCATATCAATTCAATAGCAGAAAATCAAACAATCTAATTTTAAAAATGGGCACAGAATCCTTATAGAAATTTTCCTAAAGAAAACATACACATGGCCAGCAGGTATATGAAAAGATGTCCAACATCACAAATCATCAGGGAAATGCAAAAAAAACAAACAAACAATGAGATACCACCTCATACCTGTTAGAATGGTTTATCAAAAAGACAAGAAATAGCTTGGCCAGTGTGGCTCAGTTGGTTGAGCGTCGACCCAAGCACCAAGAGGTTGCCAGTTTGATTCCCAGTGGGGCACATGCCTGGGTTTCACACGCAATCCCTAGTAGGGTGCATGCGGGAGGCAGCCAATCAATGATTTTCTCTCATTGATGTTTCTCTCTCTCTCTCCCATTCCTTTCCTCTCTCTATAAAAATAATCAATAAAAACATTTTTTAAAAAAAGGTAAGAAATAACAAGTGTTGGCAAGGATGGGGAAAAGTAGGAATCCTCATGTACTGCTAGTGGAATGTAGATTGGTGCAGCCACTATGAAACACAGTATGGAGTTTCCTCAAAAAATTAAAAATAAAAGCAGATCATATAATCCAGCAATTCCACTTTTGGTTATTTATCAAAACAAAACAAAAATATTAACTCAAAAGGTGTATGCACCCCTATATTCACTGTAGCATTATTTACAATAGCCAAGATTTGGAAACAACCTAAGTGTCCATCAATAGATGAATTGATAAAGAAAATGTGGTACATATAGACAATGGAATAATCTTCAGCAATAAAAAAAGAATAAAATGTTGCCATTTGGATGGACCATGAAGTCATTAATGCTAACTGAAATAAGTCAGCCAAAGAAAAATATTGTATGACCTCACTGATATATGGAATCTAAAAAAACAAAAATAAAAAACAAAAAACCCTCTCAAAGCAAAACCCCAAGCTCCCAGATAAAGAGAACAGATTAGTGGTTGTCAGAGGTGGGGATCGAGGTGTGGGCAAATGAGTAAAGGGAGTCAAAGGTACAAACCTCTAGTTATAAAATAAACAAATCATGGGAATGTAATACAAAAAATGTTTCAGGTAAAAGTAACATTACTAAGCACATTTTTAGTTTTGAAATTTCTTTTAATTTTCAGTACCATTGTCCCCCCCTTATCCATGATTTCACTTTTCACAATTTTAGCTTCCTATGGTCGCGCCATTCTGAGTAGTATCATGAAATCTCGTGCCATCACACTCCTTCCTACCCAGACATGAATCATCCCTTTGCCCAGTGTATCCATGCCCTATACACTCCCTGCCAATTAGTCACTTAGCAGCTGTCTCAAAGTCATCAGATTGTCATAGCATTGGAGTGCTTGAGTTCAAGTAATTCTTATTTTACTTAATAATGGCTCCAAAGCATAAGAGTAGCAATGCTAAAAATTCAGCTATTCTAAAGAGAAACCACAAAGTGGTTCCTTCAAAAAGGTGAAAGTTCTCAACTTTATTAAGGAAAAAGATGTATGCTGAGGTTGCTAAGATCCATGGTAAGAATGAATCTTCTATCCATGTAATTGTGAGGGAGAAAAAAAAAATCCTGCTAGTTTTGCCGTTGAACCTCAAACTGAAAAAGTTAACAGCTACAGCATGTGAAAAGTGCTTAGGTAAGATAGAAAAGGCTTTAAATCTGTGGGTGGAAGACATGAACAAAAAAAAATGTTCCAATTGACAGCAATGTGTTGCATCAGAAAGCATTGAACAAGACTTCAGCAAGTGATCCCGGAAACAACTGACACCAAGCTATTTACTGCAACTGCAAGTAAGGGATGGTAATGCAAATTCAGGAATAAGTTTAACATTCTACCATCTTAAAACATCACAAGAAGGGTGAGTCAGCACAATAATATATTTGAGATAGACTACAGTCATATAACTTTTATTACAGTATATTGCTATAATTGGGAAAGAGAAACATGGATCTCATTCGCACTGGACCAGCAACCTGGGTATGTATGTGCCCTGACCAGGATTGAACCTGCCACCTTTTGGTGTATAGAACAATGCTCCAACCAACTGAACCACACTGGTCAGACTGTGCCTAATTTTTTTTTTTAATCCTCACCCGAGGATATTTTTCCATTGATTTTTAGGGAGAGTGGAAGAGAGAGGAAAAGACAGAGAGAAACATTGATGTGAGAGAAACACATCAATTGGTTGCCCCCTGCACGAGCCCCAACCAGGGCCGGGGCCAGGAAGGAGCCTGTAACCAAGGTACAGCATGCCCTTGACTGGAATCGAACCTGGGACCCTTCAGTCTGCAGGCCAACACTCTATCCATTGAGCCAAACCGGTCAGGGCTTTGCCTAATTTTTAAGTTAAACTTCATTATAGATATGAATGTAAAAGCAAAAACATAGTGTACCGGTATATAGGGTTTGATACTATCTGTAGTTTCAGGCATCCACTGGGAGTCTTGGAACATATTCCCTGTGGACAAGACAGGACCTACTGTCTTCACAATGCTTCTTTAATAGTATGAAATAAATAGACTGGAGTTGTGCTATTTAAACTAACAATTGTCACAAAAAGGCACTTTTTATTGAGTTTTTACAATTTTTACCTAAATGTTATTAGATTAGTTAAAAAGGTAAAGCTGTTTATACACACTCTCACACACACATAAATCAAACCCAAATGTACTACTAGTAGTCACTAGTCCAAATGACAGCTATTTCTAAATGATTTTGCAATATATTAAATTAATCAAGTTTATTTATAATACACAAAATTAATGAATTTATCAGACACAAAAAAAGAATAAAGTTTATATTTCTTTAAGTCCATTTTAATTACTAAATATATACAACTGTGTGCATATGATTAAGACAACAGGGACTTTAAAGTACTTATTACTTTGCCTGCCCAACACAAGAGTCTATTATTTCCCTTACTTACCTTTCCCCTCATCCTAAGTCTATTTTCTTTCTATTTATCTAAGTACTAAAGTGATTACAAACCATTCAATATGGTGCAAAGTG